CAAGCTTCTCATAGGCACCTGGCTGGCAACTGTGAGAACGGGACCACTGGCCTGATCCAGCAGGGCTCTTTTCTGTGTCCTTATTCATCATACTCTCCTTAGATGGCTTCAAAGGGGACTCAGTGGAAGCCCGCTGTCTTATTTCCAACCAATGGGGTGTGGCTCTGCCTGTCACTGGCTCTGGCTCCACCTACTGTTGGTTTCCCTACCTTCTGCCCCATTAGATCCAGTGAACACAAGCCTTGCATGTATGCTGTGCTGAGTCATTGTCTTGTACACTGGACACGGATCAGCATGCAAAAGACTGGCCCTGACTTCCCTACCTGGTTGGCACTTGGGAGACTTCAGCAGAAGTGGGATTTTGGGTTGCCAAAATCTAATTTAAAAACTACACACACAGAGAGAGTGCAGTGTTTTTCAGAAGCTAGCCTGAAGAACTTGCCATCGCTCCCTGTTACGGCTGTATAATCCACAGCTAGCTAATCCTTCCATCGTCTTGCTCAAGCACAAACAGCAATACACAGAGCAAAAATAAAGAGTCAAGGAAGCCTCTGTACTCTTGTCCCACCTCACCTATTGCCAGAACATATACAATAATATATTTGTCTGCCTTAGATTTTCCTAAAAGATTAAGAACTCAATGGAAAGGGGCCTTGTGGTAGGAAACCGAGGGGATTGGAGAACAGAAAGGACGCAAAAGGAGAAATCTTTGTCTGCCATTTCCTTTGCCAAGCTATTTTTTAAGTCACGCATGCAGGAATCTGAAAGACCCAGAGGTCAAATCTTAGATTTTGGAAGCCTCCACTGAAGTTGAAAGGATTTACAATGGATTTACGCCACTGCCTTTAATATCTTTTATTTTCACACACCCTTGAGGAGGTAGCATTCTCCATTCTCATCACATACGTGGCCTCTACACGGTAATTAATGCAAGCTTAGGAGCAATTATTATCTTAAACTGCTAGCTTATTTTCATAATTACTGGCTTAAATGGGCTGTACCAATGTGATTTCTCCTCCCTCTCTTCTATTTGGGCTAAAGCAATTAGATTTGTCTCCATCCCTGGTGAAACTCTTGTTTCTTAAGTATTTTACTGGCTTGCTCTCTCAGCAAAGGGCACATAATAGTAGGAATTTCAGCAACAGAAGTCTCACCTGGCTTAAACTTTCCAAGGATTAAGGCACAAGTAGTGGGGACACCTCCTTATCCCTCCTCTTTAATAAGAGATGAAGTTATTGACAGCACGTTGCCTTGCAATGGCACCCCCAAACCTGCCACTTAGGGTGGACTGTCTCCCCCAAAGAAGGACATTTGGGGATTTGAGGTTGTTGGATACAGCAGAACCCTTTCCTCGATTCAACAGAATGGAATGCCCCCAAAGGCATTAAGTTGTGAATTATGGAGTCCATTAAAGAACCAGCCTGGAAGAGGAAAGCAAACCACTACCTTTCATTTCCCCCATTTGAATTCCTCTCTCGCACCCAAAAACATGCTCCTTTAGCTTCTTCCAATTTAAGCAGATCTGACTCCGTTCCAAAACATCCAGCAAAGTTTTATTTCCCCCCTTTCCCAGCTGAACCGAGATGGCCTGTCCTTAACACATAATTCTTCTCCTATCCCCAGTCGGTCTCGCCCGCTGACCGTGCTAAGACCTCCATTTCGACAAGGGCAAAAAAATAAACAAAAATAAACCAACCTTTCCATGTTATGGCTCTCGGCGTAGAGCCCATCGGAGGCTCCCATCAGCAAGATGAACGACACGCACTGGGCATATGCTCGGCCATTTCCTTAACTGCCAACATGGCCATAAGCAATAAGAGGCATATAGATATCGTGTGCTAAGTGAGGCAGGGGATAGGATGATAGTGGAAGCAGTTTCAATTCAAGAGGTGTTCTCCTCTCTCTCTCTCTCTCTCTCTCTCTCTGGTCATTGTCATAAAATACTAAGAGGTGGGCAAAGAAAGGAAAGGCCTTGAGGGGGAAGTTCCTCCCCTCCACCCGCAGGCACCTGCAGTAAGGTGTGAACGCTTAAGGTTGGTCTATCCACTCAGGACACGGAAGGAGAAGGAAGGGAGAAAAGAGGACAGCAAGAAGGTAAGGGCTGTAACCTTACCATGGCACAAGATCAAAGCAAATAAGGTCATCATTTAAAAAATAAAATAAAATAAATCATAAAATGAAAAAAGCTCTCCGTTTTTAAGCCCTCAGCAAGCACACTATTTCCAGCTGTTGGGTACCCATGAAACATAAAACCAACCTATTCGTTACCTGGGTTACAGACCTCATTTAGTTAATCATCACCATGATGACCAGGGCCCAAAAGGAGAGGGGTGGCAGGAAAGGTGTGGGGGAAAGAGGGGGGAGGAAACAAAGAACTTTAACAAAATAAAAAGCTACTACTTTCTCTATCTGGGATCCCATTCTTTTATCTGCCCTCATGTCATCCTCCCCGCTGGTCTTTATTCCTCCTTTCCTTTCTGCAGTACAGAAAGGCCAAGTTTTGAGCAGTGCTTTTCGAACAGCCAGGTATCACTTCTCCTCCAAATGGGAAAGGGGGGGCCTTTGGTTCATAGTGCACCAGGTTGCTCAAGGTCCAGAGAGGAATGTGAGTTGAGAGGAAAGAAGAACGGGAGGGGAGGGGGATCCCCGCACTTCTAACTTGTTAGTTAACCTGCCCGCCTGAGCCTTAATCAATAGCCAGGGACTCTGAAAGGAACAAAGAACAAACACAGAAGAAAAGCCGAGCCCTTATCTCAGATCCCCATCAGATAAGCCATTACTGGTGTCCAAAGGGACAGGCTGGCCTGTTCAGCCCTTTCTGAGTTCAAGAAGGAGCAAAGGGATGTTTCTGTGGCTTCTCTACACTTCAGTGATAGCATTCTTGCTTTGAATTTATTTTAATTTGTTCCCAACACCATCATTATTTTTAGGAGGCAGAGGAAGAAGGGGAACCAAGTAAACCCTGAACTCTAATCAAAACATGCATCTCAGGGTAATTTTGGAATTAAGTCTCTTTCTGCATGTCTTAAGGGAGCAAGCCTATGCATGTCTACACAAAAGTAAGCTCCACTGAGTTCCATGGGATTAGTTCTCAGTTCCTTTAAAGTTGTAGTTCTGTACTCACTTACCCGGGGAGTAAGCCCCATTGAGATTCATTGGGACATACTTCCGGGTGGACGTGTACAGCACTGTGCTGTAACAATCTGTTTAGCTAGCAAGCCGTTTGGATTCAGATGGCCCCTGTTATAGACAAGGATGCTTTGCGTCTTTCACCTCTCGATAAACACATTCCAAAACCTCCAATTAGCCGCTCTTGCAAAAACACACCACACGGAAGAAAGCTCTTAAATTGACGTGTGATTGCTTTCCAATTTGCATTAAAAGAAAAAATCAAATGCGTTACAGGGTTCCCGATGAGACAGGCAGCCAGAGATCACATACCCTTGACCTTTCGTTTCAGGAGATTTTGGTAAAGGGGATGTGTGGAAGCCCCAAATTCGTTTGTGAAGATTCAGCAGAGAGAGGGGGATGGGGGGAAAGTACCCAATGCAGCCTCTAAAGAAATACTAAGAGCTCCTCAGAGAACCATCAAAACAAACATTTACCAGCTTCTGGGAAAACGATATTGTTACCAAAAGCAATTTGCAAACACTTTGTCAGAACGCAGCATGAGATAATTAAGCATATTTGAATTTACAATTTAGATTCTTCTATTAAGGTGGGAGAGGGGGACGCCCAGCAACCTCATTGTTCTTATTTTATTTTATTTACGTCTTCCAATTTCAGCAAAGATTTATTGTTATTATATTATTTGTTTTGCCAGTTTCAATTTTTCTGTCATCACTTGCTCAGGGCAAGCTGTATAAATGCAGGGTGTTTCAACTGTTCACATCAAAACTTCTCTTAAGGCTGCAGGCTTACTATACATACTGGAAAATGCTGTGTTAAACACAGTGCCGCTTACTTCCAAGTAAACATGACTAAGATTGCACTGCGTGAGCAGAAACAGGCACCAGCAAGGCTGTATTTGGAGTTTAAACCTTGTTCAGTTTTAAGCCTGGATCAATATTATTTTCAATAAGTATTGTGGGATTCCATAGTACAATAGCGTGTGTGCGCACATGCTATAGGGGACCTCGATATCTATGAAAGTCTATCCATTGTTAAATCAGATTACAGTCAGAACTCAAGGGGGAATGATTATGTTATACTACCCAGTCAGGAACTGACATACACACTTAGTTTTATTCCTAGTTTTAGTCCAGCAGATTGAATTTTTTGTTGGCAAAATGGGCACTCCAAATTTCTCAAAGCTATTTGCTGTGGATGTCAACAGGTTTCTTTATGGGAGCAGGTGAGACAAGGTTTTTCCCCCCTCAGAAAATTCTCTTGTGAGAAATTTCAGCTCATTTCATGCTAGACAAAACTGAAGGAAAACTCTGCTGTTAGTTCATATTGGTGGATGAGGGAAGTTGTGGGCAGAGAAAGGAGGATTGGAAGGGGAAAAGGTTCGAGTCCATTGCTTCATTCCATGATATTAAAATAATATCAAAGAATATTAAAACTGGATCCATGCAGATGGTGAAACTGGTCAGGGGTGCATTTAACTGAATTTTCTCCAGGGGAGGACTGAAATTCTCCAACCGTTCAGGAGAAGCGTGAAAAATAATAATAAACAGTATGTACCAGCAAATTATTTTCTGAGAAATTTCAGCTCAGCTATGGTTGAAAGGGGAAGTTAAAAGTATATAAAAATGGAAACTTGTGGCACAAACATGTGCATAGATTATTTTCAAAATAAGAAACCCTGGGTTCAACAAGTTAGTGAGTACAAGACTGCAGTTTTAAATGAATAGTTGTATTTATAGTTAGATGGGATTGTAGAAAGCAATCTTTTGATATTTGGATATCTGCTGATAGACTACCAATACATAAAGATTGGTGTCATTCATCAACATTTAGATGAGCTCAATAGCTGCTGCTGTTGTTTTTCTTTTTTTAAAATAATAATAATAATAGTGATTTTAAAGGTGCAGTCCTCAGCACACCTATTTGAGAATAAGCGCCACTGATGTCAACAGAACTTACTTCCAAGGTTGCACAGTTAAAATTCCAAACTGTTTTGAAAAAAAATAATACTATGTGCTCTTTGTTGGGGTTCAGGTCATATTACACTTAGTGGAACTTACTGTACTACTGAGTAATTGAATCCACAAAATTAAGCAACCTACATTTAGCACCCTAACCTGATTTTCACCTAAAAAAGGTTTTCTTGGGAGTGTCATGGATTTTCATGAAACATTGCTCTAGGATGGAAGTCCTAAAGATACTATTTCCCACTGGGGGGGGGAAATGGAACTTACTCCAAAGTAAATATGGTTGGGATCAGGTGCCCATGCTATAATTTAGCGAGTACTTCTTCAAAGGTAATACCATTCAAGTTGAAGGCACTATTAAGGTGTAGGATCTTATTGATAAGGTTTAAAATGTGAATGTGAGATACTACAGAATTTTAGAGTCGCAGACACGGGGGAAACAGCCTTTTCTGAACTATCTACCAGTTTGGAGGACTGCAGAGTTGTTCATTCAAAAACTGTCCATCATACCTTAGTGTACACATTAAGACCCACATTTCGTTTTCAAATTAATAGCTCTCTAAAGGCTGCAATCTTATATCCACTTATCTGGGAGAAATAATCATTGAAACCAGCGGGACTTGTTTCTGAAAAGACTTGGGCAGGAGTGTGCCATAAGCCTATTTGAGGGAGCACCGATGTGTCACAAGTTCCCCATATTTCAGACAAGAGCTCTTTTGATACAGCACAAACAGCTTGTGATGGTTGCCTTTCTGATAATTCAAAAATATCTGGAAGAGCGGGAAATATATGGAAAGCCCCTGGACGCAACAAATCCGGTAATCTCACCTTTGCCACGAGTTCACAAGAGGGCCTTTACAAAAAATTAAAAAAGGGAAAAAAGAAAAACCCCACCAAATTTGTTTTTGCGAATTGATTTTAGCAAATGCCTTATCCTGCATTCTCATCTGAAAGGTGCCCTGAATAAGATTGCATCCTCAGACTCATGCCCCCACACCCCGCTTTTGCAATATGGAAATGATAATACTACGGCCGTAAGGAAGGCAACAAGATCATATACGTGTGGAACGCCTGAAACGTTCAAGAATGCTACATTCCTGCTAAGTATTTTTATTATCCATTCAAACCCAGGTAGGAGTTTTGACCTTGAGTTCAGTGAGATATCAGCCTGGAGCAATCCCATAAACTTTGTAAGGCTTATGCAAGCACAACAGGATAATGGCCCCATTAAATATCGGTACTAGCCATGCAGTACAAGTCTAAGCTTCCTTACTCAGGAGTAAATCCCTAGTAAATCCCTAGACTTACTCCCTAGTAACTGTCTGAAGAATTGCAGCTTTAGAAGCAGGTTTATATTGGAGAAGGGCTATGTGGAGAGGGATGAAATCTAATTAACGGGCTTTGATGGAGGTAAATATAAAAGAAGTTAGCCCTGCTGACAGATCCCTTCTTTTTCTGTAATCATTTTCTCCTGGCTTCTGTGTTGAAATGTAATGAGATTGGATAGTATTGAAATCAAGATTGGTTTCAGGAGACCTTTCGAAAAAGGAAAAAGGAAAAAAAGCAAAGAACACCAAGCAAATCAAAACCGTTTCTTGTCTTGTGTGGCCATCCCCACCCCCACTCCTCACTTTGGAAGAACACACAAAGCAGTCTTTGCCAACCTGGTGCCCTCCAGATATTTTGGATTGATTCCCAAACTTCTGGAGGGCACCGGGTTGGTGAAGGCGGACACAGAGGAACATTCCAGAACCTTTTCCAAGAAGTGAAAGCCGAACAGAGCGCTCTGCGTCAACTCCCCTAAAGTCCACAACGCCCAACTGCCTTTTCCTGCTTTTGGAGCCAACAACGGATGACGAGAACCATTTTTGCGTGCTTACAAAACACACACACATACACATCTTAAAACTCTCACCCGGTTTACTGTGTCAACAACACAAACACACACACACACCCAAGCATCAGCAGCCCAACAGGCCAAAGGAAAAGTTGACAAAAAGTCAAGGGTTTCTTTTCTTTGAAAGCCATTATTTCAATCATTTTCCTCCTGCGCAAACCATTTTGATCCACTCAACATCCCTCCACACCGACTGGCACAGAAGGCTTCAGATGTGAGGAGTTATTCTCCCCTTTGAAAGAGAATCTGGTGTCTCTTTCTTTCTCAGTGCCCAACTCAAAGCAGCAAGTAGAGACAGGTTAGGCATGGAAGCGGAGCTCTGGTGAGAGAACTGGAAGAAAGATTATGAGGAAGCAAAGAGGCTCTCTTATAACACAGGGATAGACCTGCAGCGGTTATGGGAGGCAGTGGAGAGGAAAGAACGAGGAGACCAACTCAAAATGGCTCCTTTAAGCCAAACTGCAAACACTCTGGACAGAATCAAGATCTCTGCATCCTCTAGTTAATTGCCAAAACCTTAATCCAAGAATCAAATCCCATCCCCTTTACCACTTACACATCATACCATTATTTACCATTTTAACATTAGGAGAACAGAAATTACTGCTTTCCAATGTATGTGCTTTTAAATATCTGTTACCCCCCTGCGCTTAAACTGCCCCCTGTCCTTGTTAAACAGGGTCACAACCATTTATTTCTCTTTTAGCAGTGGGGAAGGGATAAAGATGGGAAAGAATTAAGCAAGGCACAGCTCACCAACAAGGAGGGAAAAGACATTTAGGATTCAGTGAGAGATACAAACCATGGGCTGCTTGGATCGCTCTTCATCTCTTGGTCAACTGAGTGCTTTCCACCCCCCTCGCCTAACTGCCGTGATTCAGTCATCACCACCGATCCCAAATCTGCCTCCTTTGTCAAGATCAGGGCACGAGAGACTAAGGTCCCCCCCCCCCATTGGCTGCCTCCTATTGAATGCCTTGCAACTTTGCTGCTACCTGCCCCAACTGGTTTGGCCAGTTGTAAGGTGAACGTTTGGATTTGCGAGGTTTCAGCCATCCCCACCCCCCTCACCTTCCATCTCAAAGCAGACAAAACCTGATACTTCTTCTTTCTTTTTTTTAAAACAAAACTTCCTTCAGTCTACCTGGAGAAAGAAAAGAGACAAAAGATAGAAGGGGGCGGGGGGGAAGCACACCTAAGCAAGACGACTTAACTGCGGCTCAGTCACCACCATTAAACTCCCGTTTAGTGCACATCCACGGCGGGAATCTTTCAACCTACAGCATACGAGGAACGCGAAGCCATTACAACGACTTTGGCGCAAGCTGCCAGGTAACCTTTTCCCAACCCAAAACCGCCAAGGATCGTAAATCAATAAATACATGCATTGAAAAAGCAAGTCGCAGCAGGCCTCTTGTGAGTGACTTTGGAGGGTCGGATCTTCCCACGTCTCAGCAATTTCTCGGGATTTCTCGGCAAGGAGTTTCGCAGGCTGGGATTTTTGGGGGTGTGCAGAAAGCACACAAGGAATCGGAACAGCTTTGCTATATCTACGCTACCAAAAAGAAAAGAAAATCCTTAAAATAAAATTAAAAGTTTTTTAAAAGGAGGGGGGAGCCGCAATGTTGCCCGGCCATCATGGAAGCCTCAAGCATCTTACTTGTTTAAGCTGGAATACAGGAGAGACGGAGAATGTCTAACGGCTCAGCTTACATGTACTTCCTCGACCCCTCCCTGAGCAGGTGCATTCTTTGCTCCCGACCAATCTCCTTGCCTCTAGCCATGAACAGGTGTGTCCTGCCATCTTGGGATAGGCCAGGCGGGGAACCGTCAGGCGTGATGTAGCCACGGACCCCACACAATAGGCTTTCGGAGCCTCCCCACCTCCAAAGGATCTTTTCAAATATCGGGGGGGGGGGGGAGGAAGTTAAGTTGATGTGTGACATATGCATACTGTATCTATCTATCTATCTACCTACCTACCAACCTAGCACGGCCCGTTCCTCCCATTTTCTCTCAACCTTCATATCTGTTGTTTTATTTAAGAAATGTAGGCTAACTGGTTGGAAAGGGGTCCCCGCCACCAGCAGGGTGTATAACCTTCTGGCAAAAGAAGTTCAGTTAGTCTCCCCCTCTAAGCTGCCACAACTGCCATAAGCCGGGGAAGGAGGGGAAGGTTTCAAATAAGGAAGTCACTTTCTGTAGCGTTCAGTCAGAGTCATCCAAGGTTGCAGGTTTCTTGCAGATGTGGGTTGATTAACTCTACCCTTCCATGATCTACATCAGAAATGGGGAACCTCCGGCCCAGAGGCCAGCCGTGGCCCTCCAGGCCTCTCCACCTGGCCCACGGATCCTGGCTGGAATGTGTCCTTAAATTCTGATCATGCCTCATGGTTGCCAGGATGGAGAGAAGTGTGTGAGTGTGTGTAGAAACGAGCCAACTGTACGAAGCTAAACATTTACATTTGTGCCTTTGCCCGCTTTTGCCTCGGGCTCTGCCCACCCCTGGCAGAATGTCCCTAGGGTTGCCATATTTCAAAAAGTAAAAACCAAGACACTCCAAAAGTCGCTGAGCTTTTACAAGAAAAACCCCAACGTTGTTGAGCTTTCTTTTTACCAAAAAGCGATTTTTCGATTGACTTGCCTAAGATCCAGGACAAAGCACTGTCTTTTGGAAAATTCCCCCAGATGTCAATTCCACCTTTGAAATCCCAGTAATGTCCAGAAAAATCCATATGTATGGCCCAAAGGGTGGCAAAAGGTTCCTGTTCGCTACTGACAGTCATTAAAATCGCTATGGTCCACAGTTGTGTTCTAAATGTACAAAACGAGAGTCTGTACATCACCAGCATTGACGTTGGATTCATCTACCAGTCCAATCTGGGTTCTGTACATCCAATGAGGAGGGAGGCACCATTTTTGTCCTTTGCCTCAGGCAGCAAGGTATCTTGGGCTGGTCCTGGAGGCTTACTAGGGCTTCAGCCAGAGGTCTCTTCCTAGCCCTAATGGAGATGCTGAGGATTGAACCTGGATCCTTCCATACACAAAGCGGTGTGCTCTACTACTGAGCTATGGGCTGTCCAAACTAAAATATGTGAAGTTATTCTGGATATATGCCCTTGCTTAAGAGCCTTGTTGGATGAGCCAAGATCCCCTCCCATCTAGTACTCTTGACAAGAACCTACAGAAATTTGGGAACTGGGGGTAGGCATTGAGAGAATTTCCCAAGTGTCACAAGGAAGAGGCGGTTCTGTACAATACAATAGGGTTGGGCAACTGAAGGTGTGTGTCTTCATGCCAATGGGGCACTGCCCCACCAACCTTAGCCTGCCCTCAGCCAGCCCATTCTTCCTGCCTTCCTATTTAACAACAAGTACAAAGGGAGGTCTTGGTTGTAATCTTCCTTCTCCTTAGTCTCAGTTTTGCCCTTGTAGAACTCATCGAGGAGGAGCATGAAGGCAAGATTATAATTAGTTGACTCCACATGTCATCATCTCTGCCTCCATCTATCATTTGCTCTGGCTTTGCTTGCACTTGGGTTCCTGCCCTACCAATCTCAATAGGCACAAGCCCCCACTGTAGGCAAATCCAACCCTCAATGCAAATCCAACTCCCCAACCCCCATCTAGCCAAAAACATAACTCCTAAACCCAAATGTCATAAACACTATTATCCAGTTTCTCTCAGCCAGTTTCTCCCAAACTGGGACACAAGCAATGGGTTTCTTAAGTTCTTTTCCTGCAGTGTGAACAGCAAGACAGAGTCCTTTGGCCTAGTTTGAAACCTGGGATGCTCTGAGACATAGGCAAAGGGCTGTTGATTTCTATTGTATTTAAAAAAAAATGTAAAATCACTTTTCGCCCGAAGTAAATGGGTTCTTTAAGGCCAACTTCTACAACCTGAACAGCAAGGGAGGTGCTGGCAGAACCCCATGTCCTATGATGTCACCTGGATATTGTCTCCTGGCAACAAAGGGCTCTTTAACCCCTTCTCTCCTGCAGCGTGCACAGCAAGGAAGGCCTTGCGAGAGAAATGTGAAGGCTCAAGGCACCAGTGCTATTTTTCTAGAAAAATAGGTGCCAGAAATCACTATTAACATCTCCCTTGTTCTCTTATACAGTGGTACCTCGGGTTAAGTACTTAATTCATTCTGAAGGTCCGTTCTTAACCTGAAACTGTTCCTAACCTGAAGCACCACTTTAGCTAATGGGGCCTCCTGCTGCTGCCGCTCCGCCAGAGCACAATTTCTGTTCAAATTTCAAAGTTCTTAACCCGAGGTACTATTTCTGGGTTAGCGGAGTCTGTAACCTGAAGCGTATGTAACCTGAAGTGTATGTAACCCGAGGTACTACTGTAATAGTAAAAGTGCCCACATGAGAGGTGCCAGAACTGAGTTCTGTCGGGTTCCAGCTGAAAAAAAGCCCAAGATTCTACCAAAGCATCTTTTCCGCTGGAGAAGAGGGGAGTGGGATCATAACTTTGCCCTTTTCCTGCACATCCAAGTTGATAGTGGATAGTGCCAATGGTTGTGCCCAGCAGTCCTTTTCTAGATGAAAATATGCCCCCACTATTGAAAAATTCACCTCAAATATTTTTATCAGTGTCGTTTTGTGCAAGCCACCTTGAATTGCATTCTGGGGAAAAGGCAGAATATAACAACAACAACAACAACAACAACAACAATGGGTCTGCTCTGAGCAGGATTAGCATTCAATACAGGCCCATAATTGTACAATAGAAAGGGCTTAAGGAAATAAGATATGCCTGCTGGATCATGCCAGTGGCTCATCCAGTCCAGCATCCTATTTTTGCAGCTTGATGAAGTCTGAAAGAAAGACCTGAGGACAACAGCACTCTGCCCACCTGTGATTCACAGGAACTGGTATTCAGAGGCATAGTGCCTCTGGAGGAGCCCCTGCAAACACTTCCTTGAGTGCTACAGATCATACCTGATTATAGTGTTGCATTGGCCCCTAACTATGTAATGGGGCATGTGGCTACCCTGTGAGAATTTAATGAATGTTGTGATTGCAAAGTATCCACACGGAAGGTCAAAGCCTGTGCTCTGTTCACAGATCTAGGGTCCTTCCCAATGCTTATGCACGCTGGAGGGGGAGGAGTCTACATGAATTGAGCATGCCCAAATCTTCTGAGACACACTCGGGGTTCTGTAGCAGTGCTCTACCGCTCAACTGTGGCTCATCTACAGAAAAGTGTGCCTGTTCTGTCTCTGTCTGATCCACTGCCCTCAATGTGTTTCCTTCCATTTAGTCTCCATCAGGGTGAGTTAGTCTGCCCCACCTCTGAATCAAGCCTGATCCGGTTACTCCCAGTACAGAAGCAGAGCAAACCTTAGAGGGGGATGCCCAGTATGTCCCTACAGTTCTGGTCTCAGTGCATTGAAATCAGGAGCCGTGCTCAGAACAGGGACTCCTGCAGAGACACAGAGGTACCTCTAAGTGAACTGCCTCAGACTCCTCAGACCTTTTCAGAATCAATCTTTTTTTGTGTATGAGTGAATTTTACTCTATTGGGGGGGATGTGTGTCATCAATGAAAGCTATGGCCTTATTTTATTAGCAAAAAGTGTGCACAAAGGCGAAATATTAGTGAAGATAACTTTCAAAAATACATGGGGTTAGGGAAAATAGTTTGCAAAATATACGTATACAGAGCAAATAGCCTTCTTTAAAAAACCCAACAAATTTTCATGCGGACCTTGTAATAAAACAATGATCAGAAACTGAAATGAGATGAGCTGAGCTTCAGGTTGGGGGCGGGGAATGAGAAACTGAAAGAAATTGAAATTGACAGATTGATCTATTCCTAGTGGGGAATAGGATGGTGGATTTCAAACTGTTGCTTCAGCTGTCCTGAACATTTAATGCTACGATTCAGGAAGTAAACTCTATTAGATTCATGTTTAAAGGCGAATCTACATGATTTGAACTTTCTGAAGCAGAACTTATCTGAATTTTGCAGTGCAAGTTCTCTCACAAATTAGTGCATACAAAGATGCATAACGTGTGCATATAATGCGTACATTTGTGTACATAATGTACAAAGTGTGTTATATTTGGGTAACTTGCTTTGTAAAAATGTCTGTATGAAGCAAAACTGCATACAAAGATGTGTAGGTTAGGAGAATTTGAACTAAAATGTTGGTGAATTTTCACGAAGACTTTTTATAATAATAAAGAAATCACAAACTGGTGCGGAAATGGGGAGAATGGAGCTTAAGACTTGAAAAATGGGGATGAACTGAAATTGACAGATTTGCCCATCCGTAACTACAATATACTCTGCTCAAACGAATAAAAAATAAAGGGGTGAAATGCAACCTTGCAGGTTTTCTCCTTTCTCCTTGTTTTTAAGGGAGTTCGGTCCCTAGCTTCTCATGGATGATGTTGTTTAATGAAATGACCAATTATCATGCTAATTAGAAGAAGCACCTGGAAAATCCCCAGAAGACGCAGCCCAGCAAATTGAACGCAGGCACCGAGAGTTTGAAAGCTTTTGCATGCTGAATGGAACAATTTGTCTTCTGCAGGAGAGCTCAGAGGACAATGTTGAGCTGTGGAGATTCTTGGGGAAAGAACGCAGCAAGCAGGGCTGGATTACCAAAGAGGCAGAGCAGGCACCGACCTATGGGCCCCATGCCTTTTTAGGTGCCCTTCGACAATGAATCAAAATAATATTGATTTGATCTTGAAAGAAAATTACAATCAAGCCAAGAAGAAGCTTTGAGATAATTTGCAAGTTCAACAGCCTTAGGGCTTCTGCAGGGTTTAATCTGGCACTGGCAACATCAAGTTGGTGGGTCTCAAGGTCTGGCCTTGACATTTCAGAGTTTTAGCTTTGGGATCACTTGAAGGCAGGACGAAATTGAAGAAGGTTGAGGGAAGAAAACCAATTTCTGTGTTGCTTCTAGCTTACCCCCAATTTAAAACAATGTACTGAATAGGGACACTACTCCAAGGGATAGCAACGCTGTTGGCCCTCCAGACATCACAGGGCTACAACTCCCATCATCCTTGGCAATTGGCCACTCTGGCAGGGGCTGATGGGAGTTGGAGTCCTACAGCAGCTAGAGGGCACCTGGTTCCTCACGCCACCACTAAGCCATGAACTGGTTACTAGCCAACAGTGTCTTTGAACGAATGAGCTAGGAATTAGACTAAATAAAATATTGTGGAGCAAAAAAGAAGACGACAGGAACTTCAAAAAGCCAACAGGTTCCAGAGTGCAGGTTATGTTTCACAACAACAACAACATACAGCATTTTTAACATTGGATGAAATGTGTCACTGTGTTTATCATGATGATCTGATCCCCCCCCCCCCTTCTTCTTGCATGAGCCCCTTTGAAGTTCCCTTCGGCCCCTTGTAGTAATGACAGCAGTAAACACCTTTGCTTTTGTCTGATGAGAACAACCTTGGGGCTCGGTGACCTCTGCAGATCTCACCTCCTGACAAGGCTGCTGTGTTGCTGAAAGCCACGCCTCTTTGTGCATGCAGTGGCAGATCTTGGGCATCACCCAAAGGAGCGGGGCAGGGGCTTGCCCTGATGGGCTTTTCACTCATCAACAGCGTACCAGCATTCCTAGTCACCTGTTGTAGGCGCCCAGCCCTGGGGAGGACCCAATTCTGAATCCGGAGTCTGCTAGGCTTCTGCTCCTTCTTTCTATCGCTAAGAACATACATGAGAAGAGCCTGTTGGATCAGGCCAATGATTCATCTCATGTCCAGCATCCTGTTCTCACAGGATGCAGTTCTCACAGGAAGAAGAGTTTGGATTTGATATCCCGCTTTATCACTACCCGAAGGAGTCTCAAAGCGGCTAACATTCTCCTTTCCCTTCCTCCCCCACAACTAACACTCTGTGAGGTGAGTGGGGCTGAGACACTTCAGAGAAGTGTGACTAGCCCAAGGTCACCCAGCAGCTGCATGTGGAGGAGCGGAGACCCGAACCTGGTTCCCCAGATTACAAGTCTATCGCTCTTAACCACTACACCACACTGGCTCTCCCAGATGCCTCTGTGGAATCCCACAAGCAGACCCAGAACGCAGCAGCACTATCTCACAATCTGTGATTCCCAGGAAGTGGTTTTCAGAAGCATTACTGTCTCTGACCGTGGAGGCAGAGCACAGCCATCATGGGTAATAGCCACAGATAGCTTCCTTCTCCATGCATTTGTCCAATCTGCCTTCAAAGCCATTCAAGTCAGTGGCTACCACTGCCTTCTGTGGCAATGAGTTCCATAGTTTAACTACGCTGTGTGTGAAGAAGTGCACTGCTCTCTTCAAGATTAAGCAGTCACCTCCCCTCCACACCTGTGAGGTGGTGCGGATTGGGCCCAGAGGGAGAAGCAAGTGACGAGGCAATACCGAGAGTTGGCAAGGGGAAGCAGGCTAAATTGGCATCCTCAGGCTCAGGCCCACGTGACAGATGGCTGTGAGCCCCCCCCCTTTTTATATTATCCACAATGCCACAGAACTGCCCCTGCTCTGATCTGTATGTCAATAAGTCAATTCATTCACAAACACTCTCAGTATAATAGTTTTATTACTTAAATCAGGAAGTTCAAGGTGCCACCAGGCCATGCCATCTCTCACCTCATCTTCATCCCTGCCTGTCTCCTAAGCTAGGCTAGAAGTGGAGAACTAAAACTTTAACATACCCTCCAACATTTCTCTGATGAAAATAGGGACATGGTATTCCATAATAATATTGTTTTATTTATTTATACCCCACCCATCTAACTGGGTTGCCCCAGCCACTTGGGGTGACTTCAAGCATATATAAAAACATTAAAAAGCTTCCCTCTATAGGGCTGTCTTCAGATGTCTCCTAAAGGTTGTTTAGTTACTTACAGCATTGGCTTAGGGGTTGCATAACTCCGCACCCTCCAACATTTATCCAATGGAAATAAGGAAAAGCGGGACATTCTGGGATCAAATAAGAAACTGGGATGGCTTCTGTAAATCTGAGACTGTCCCTGGAAAATAGGGACACGGAGGCTCTGCCTTAAGACAAGATTCAGTCCAACCTTGCCAGACTCATACGACCTAGTCCTACGAATACAAAGTAGGGTGAACAGCAGCAGAGGCAAAGCTAGTTACTTTCCCTGGATGAACTCCATGGGAAGGACCTGAGTGCAACTCCCAGCAACTGGTGTTCAGATGTATTCTGACTCCAGCTGTTGAGACAGAGCACAGCCATCATGGTTGGCACCCAATGATGGCCTTCTCTCCCATGAATGTGTCCAATCCTCTTTTAAATGCATCCAAGTCAGTGGCCCCCAGTACACCTTGCGGGAGCAAATTCCTGGAGAGTGGATCCTTTCGTAGTCAAGATGGCACCACCTATGCACAAGAGGGAGGTATTAGGAGAAAAGAAAATGTAAGGAAACAATCCTAAAGGGGATGTGACTCCCACCCCAACTATCCCAATAAAGCCTGGAAATGCTGTCTGGAAGCGGGGCAGGGTGGGGAGGATGGAAAACCTGGTGGGATTCAAATGAAATGGAGTACCTGGAAAAGGGCACAGCTAACTGGCTGGCTGAAACCCTGAGCAGAATCTGCATTTTGCTTATTTCAGTGAGGGTTCCACTGGTTTAACTCAGAATTCCAAACAGAGAAGAAATTGGAAGCGTTGCTGTTTTCTGGCTCTGCCACCTGGGTGAAGTTCTTTAGCAGAAAGACGTCTGAGGCCAGGAGATAGCTGATGGGAGGAGGTGAAAATCATTGCAGGCTTAAAAGGGGCATTAAGGCATTTCAGAGCTCCTGCTTGCTTTTCACGGGGGCAAAGTTCAGCTCAGGGCCCCACCTGCCCTTACAGTACCTGAAGCCAAAAAGGCAGTGAATGGTGTCTTGGCATGTGAAGCGAGCTGGGGAAGAGAGGCGGGAGGGGGAGGGTCAAGGAGGGGGAAGGGAGGGGCCTTGGGCATTGCAGTGTCTGTAAAGGATCAGGCAGCTAAAAGCCTGTGTTCCACGCAGCATCATGGATCAACACCCATGACTCCAAGCACTCCCAAACCTTTGTCAAAGTTGGCATTTAACAGTTATTCCAACTAAACATTCGGAAAAACTTTCTGACAATAATAGCTGTTCGGCAGTGGAAGAGACTCCCACGAGAGGTGGTGGACTCTCCTCCCTTGGAGCTTTTCAAGCAGAGGTTGGATGGCCATCTGCCATGGATGCTTTAGCTGAGATTCCTGCACTGCCGGGGGTTGGACTAGATGACCCTTGGAGTCCCTTCCAACTCTAAGATTCTATGAGATTAATCAATGGGGCCATTAGCCCATTCTTTGTTATGCGCAATTAGAATGGCCCGAAACAAAGACTCAGGAAGGTGGAGAAAGCAGATTGGAAGATTTGCCCTCATTTACACAGGAGACTATTGAAGTCTGCCTCCCTACAGCCATGGGGACTAGCAGTGTGCATTATTTTGTTCCAAATAAGAAAAAATATACAGTGGACACTCGGGTTGCGAACATGATCCATGCGGGAGGCATGTTCGCAACCCGCAGCGCCGCGTCTGCACACGCGTGCGTCGCAATTCAGCGTTTCTGTGCATGCGCAAAGTGCGATTTAGTGTTTCTGCGCATGAGCAAGTGACAAAACCCGGAAGTAACCCATTCCGGTACTTCCGGATTTGGTGCGGTGCGCAACCCGAAGTATCCGTAACCCGAGGTATGACTGTACAGTGGTACCTCGGGTTACATACGCTTCAGGTTACAGAATCCACTAAGCCAGAAATATTACCTCAGGTTAAGAACTTTGCTTCAGGATGAGAACAGAAATCGTGCTCTGGCGGCGCAAGAGGCCCCATTAGCTAAAGTGGTGCTTCAGGTTAAGAACAGTTTCAGGTTAAGAACAGACCTCCAGAACAAATTAAGTTCTTAACCCGAGGTACCACTGTACAATGATTTCAGGAAGTGCAACCATTTTACCAGCTCGCAGTGGTGGGAAGAGAGACAGGAAGGAGGAGACATGTGGGGTGGGGGTGGGTGGGGGGTCAGGTGCCTTGTGGTCCTGCTTTCTGTGGCAGGCTCACATTCCTGGAAACATCGAAATTAGGAGGCTGGATTCCCCTCCAAACAAGCAAGCAAGCAAGCAAACCAACCGAAAAACTGAGCAGGTCTACATTGTTCCAGTTGGCCACATCCCAAGCAGCAAAAAAAGGGAAAAACTGATTCAGAGGCCCTTTGGAAGACACTCCCTATTGGCACAGACACCCACCTGGCTCTATCTAATCCTCCCCACCCTTGCATTTATACATTGAGCCACTCCTGCTGCCTCGCTGCCCTTTACTCCAGTCAGGATGAACAAGGCCAAGAGGCGGAGGTTGCGGGGCAGAGGGTTGCCCCGGGTGGGGAGGGGGACATCCTCCTCCGTGATCCAACAACACCTTGCACCTTCTGCCCGGTGTCCCTCCCCCTAAATGGAAGGCGCCTTTGCCAAGAACCAGCTTCTTCTCCGCTCCCACCCAATCTGGCAAGGTTTGGGGGCGATAGGCTTTCTCGCCCTTTGTTCCCAGCTAGGATCGTTTAAGTGGAAGCAGGTGTTCTCCTCCGCCGCTAATCTCCTGTACACGCCTATGGTCCCAGCAACCGCTTTCACGTTCCAGATGGGTGATGGGAGACAGCTTTCCCTCCCCCCCCCACACCTCCTGTGAGGGCGGAGGACTTGCCGTGGGAGGCGAGGCTCCGATCGGCTCTCCATGCGGAAGCAATGAAAAAGAAACCATTCATAAAGGCACTTAGGATTGCTGGGTTTCCACCCCGCTCCCCTCTTTCCTTTGTTCTATCATCTCCTCCCCATCAACCCTCACCGCTCTCCATTTCCACCTTACAAAAGATTTGGGGGTGCCAGGGTGTGGGGGGAAGCAATGGAAAAAAGAAGCAATGGGAGCCAGGAGATGGGAAGGGAACAGTGTTCTTATTTTTTATTTTTTTTAACGTTCATCCAAGGAACCAGCTGTCATTTGTAATTTGATTCCCTCATTCCATCGGCAGGATGTGAAGCACAAATGAAAAGAGTACCTCTGAGCATGCACAGATTTGGCTGCCTTCCTTCTGGAAGAAGTGGGGGGGCGGGTAGCATACTATTTATTAAGGACCATCTAGTCCAGTATCTTAGTCTCATAGTGGCTCCACAGATCTCTGAGGGGAACCAGCAAGCAGGACCTGAGCTCAACAGCACTTTCCCCTCCTGTGGTTTCCAGCAAATGGTATTCAGAAGTTTGACTGGCTTGTACCATAGAGGCAGAGCATAACCGTCATGGCTAGCAGCCACTGATTGCCTTCTCCTCCATGAATCTGTCTAATCGTCTTTTAAAACCATCCAAGCAGGGGGCCATACCTTAGTTCCTAAGTTTAACTATACACTGCTTGAAGAAATACTTTCTTTTATCCATCCTGAGCCATCCAATATTCAGCTTTTTTTTTTTTTGAGGTGAGGCGATCAGAACTGTACACCATATTCCATATGTGGTATTAAAAGTAGTTTTAGAGGGCGGCCATCAAAGCCCGACTTTTGCCCTTTGAGCCAAGCTGTGTCTCTACACCTGCTCGCTACTAGTGGGTGAGAAATTGGTTTCATTTAGCAATTAACTTGCCCTTAATTTGCAAATTAGTTTGCGCTTTGCAAAACAACCTGAGAACCCAAACGCAGATGTCCTTTCAAATCTGCGCTTCTCCCAATTTTGCACTGCAGTTCTCCAGCTTAGCGATATGTACGGAAACGCATGTGCATATATTAGTGGAAATAACATATACAAATTAGGGGAGATGGATTGGCAAAAAAAAAAAAAAAAGGATCGATTTGCAGTAAAATGCTGAGAAATTTTCATGAACATTTTTGGGGAAATTTCACAGACTGATGCAGAAAGTATTGAACTGATGTCTGGAAGAATGAGAAGCTGAAACCGACATGGACAGATTCACCTATCCTTACACTGCACACGTTTTAAGGAGGGTGAGACTTAGTGGAGACATGAAAAATAGCCTCCTTGGCTCTTCCTTCCGATTTTGAGCCCCACAAGATTTCACAGAAAGAAATGAAAGGAAACCCTAGCTCTGTGGCAAAACACCTGCTTTGCATGCCAAAGGTCCCAGCTTCAATCCTCGATGGCATCTCCAGGTAGGGCTAGGAAAGATGCCTTGCCCAAAACCCTGGAGAACTGCTGACCATCAGAGTAGACAATACTCTGGACCGATGGAGGGAAACCCCCTATGTTCCTCTGTGGCCCAGCCCAGACCCAGGTCAGCCACCTTCATCAAAGTCAGACCTACATCTCTCATTGCATTATTGCCAGATTCTGGTCTAGACATGGAGCCTGAAACAAAATCTGCAAGCATCAAATCAGGAACAGAAGATGGCACTGGGTGGTAAATCAGGGCTTAGAACTAAACCCTGACCTTCTCTTTTACTGCTGCCTCCATCATAGAAGCATTTTATTTTATTACACATTATAACTCTCTCCTCCTCCCAAGATCTCCAGTTGGATGAAGTATGAATCCTGGATTGCCTCCCAATGAAGGCTGACTTCTGGGGCCCAAACTTGCTTGGCTTCAGCCAGGAAACATAAGACGAGTCTGCTGGATCAGGCAAAGGCCCATCTAGTCTAGTAGTCTGTTCTCACAGTAGCAAACCAGGTGCCTGTAGGAAACCTGCAAGCAGGAGAACTCAGGGACTGGGCAAAAGTTCGGTTCAGTTCACCTTTAAAAGCAGAATCTACTTATCATATTTTTCGCCCTATAGGGCGCACTGGCCCATAGGACGCACCTCGTGTGTTTTTTTGGGGGGGGGAAATGAATAAAAAAAATTATCCCCCCCCAGCCACGGGGCTGGGGCGGGGGAAGCCCGAGCTTCCCCCGACCCCAGCCCCCAGAACAGGCTGCTATCCGCAAGCCTTGCGAGCCCGCGGGAACTCCCGCCAGGCTTGCAAGGCCTGCGGATAGCTTCCTGAAGCCTGGAGAGCGAGAGGGGTCGGTGCGCACCGACCCCTTTCGCTCTCCAGGCTGCAGCGAAAGCCTGCATTCGCCCCATAGGACGCACACACATTTCCCCTTCATTTTTGGAGGGGGAAAAGTGCATCCTATAGGGCAAAAAATACGGTAATTCACTGTTTCTGAAATGCAGCCATTCTGCACTTTTCCAAACTCTGGAGTGCTGTTCTTCGGTTAATTAATGTGTGCAAAAAATGCACAGTGGTGAAAACAGTGTACATGGACTCTGTGAATGTAGCCTGCCTTTTACTGTCACCGAGTGCCAGGAGGGGTGAGAATTAACGAGAGAGCTGCCTCACCCGTTCCGCTGCCAGGGGAGTCCTTCCTCCCCACCCCACCCCCGCCGCTGCTTTCTCCTTCACCTTCCTTTCCAAGCTTCGGCTTGTTTTGCGCCACTAATGACTAGCGGGAGGACTGACTCACAGAGAGGCACACAAAGGGCCTCGCTGAATAGATTCCACCCCCGCCGTGCTGCATTTCCTGTGCCAGTTTCAAGCAAAGCTTCCTCCAGTCGCCTCCCTCAAAGGTGACGTTTGACACTCAAACTCATGGGCACCTGCTTTGCTCGTGGGCATCCAAGAAGACAGAGCGT